GATGAAGGATTGCGGTCCAGACTGTGTGCAGGAGCGAGATGGATTTGACACATCGCAGGACCATGAGGGATAGTGACAACTTGGGGAGATCATCATCCGGCACTTGATAGATCATGCATGATGAAGGTTGCAGGATATTATTTATTTCAAGGTTATGTCAACATTAAATGGTGAATTATTAGTTTTTTAACTGCATTCTGCAAAAAACAATGTAAAATGTGTAAACGTACTCGGACCAGTGTTGGGTGTTGCTCAACTATGTTGGCAGTCCCAAAGCAGGGATGAGAGTCCATGATCTTATGGCAGAGATCACCGGCCTGTCCGTACAACAGCCACAATCGACTTCTCACAAAGTGGCATTTATTTTATTGCCCCAGGAAGAGTGATGGCTTAAATTGATTTCGTTCATCCACAGTTGTATGCAAATAATTGCTCTTTGATCCTGTCCATTTAATTTGAAAGTGTGTACGCAATTTCCTCTTGAGCAGGGAAATATTTAAGACTAAATTAAGCAATACGTGCAATCGCACACACACACAGAGAGAATATGCAGGCCAGCTGTTGACTCGGTCTAAGTGGTTGTTTTGTCTGTGACTCTGCCGAGAGAGAAGTTTCTACAGCAGCCAATGGGGCAGGGAAGTGGAAGGGAGGCCGGAGCAAACAGTGGCTCAGCGACATATGAGGAGGGCCCTCCCCCCCTCCCTCTCCCTCGCTGCACTCTGCCTGGAGACGTTTGGCTTTGCGTTCACACGTCCCCCCCCCCCCCCTTATCATCGCTTTCTGCGAGGCTTTGCGGCCACACGGGGTTTTGCACGTCTGCGCACGGCCGATAGACAAACGCCACACGGTGCTTCCCCCCGTTCCCTTCACGCCACCCTGGTGCTTCTGCGTACTCGCGACGAGACACGGCGCTTCATGTTTCCCATGGTACGGTAAACAAACTTGCACCGGACCAACATTTTGGGCAACAGTGAGGCGTTGATAGGTTTGGTGGGGAGAAGAAAAAAAAGGTGTGATTTACATTTCAATGGCTTGTTAAATATTCTTTTGTTGAAGTGAATGATGCGTGTTTTTTCTGTACATAAACACAAGCTTTAATTTTGCATGATGTTTTGTATTGCTATTCATATTTAATTTTAAGCATTCATTGACGATTCTATATATTTTTAAGTGATTTGTTTGCATTGGAAGTTATGTTTAAAGCTGCTGTTGATCAAATGTATAGGTTTTTGCAAAATGCATTTGAAAAGACGGGACACTAATGTAAACCAGATACTACAGTACTGTATATTATTTTTTACAACAGTCTATTACAAACACTTGAAACATTGTCTTATGCCGATTGTAGATATTGTACTTCATCCATATCCAAAGAAAATAAATGACATACATCATTCATTAGGACCTGAAAACCACACTTTCCAAAAGATGTTTCTATACAGCCGAACTTAATTTTCTTTTGGAACTCAAACAAAGAATACCTGTCATCTCAAACTGTTGCCAGACCGTACTGGGTCCCGAGCCAGCTCTTAAAATGCTTTTTTTTATAGTATCAGCATGGAAATATGGTTATACTATTACAGAGCCTACTGCATAGAATAAAATATTCTATGGTGCTAATTTTGCAAGCAGTAAACATTCATTGAACGTTTTCTCTATCAACATTAGCATTTACACATAATATGTAAAAAATACTTCCTGTTTTAACCTCTAACAAAGTAAATCTACATTGTACAGCAGCCGTCTGGCCACATATTTTTCATACATATTTCACAGCAAGCAGCATGCATTTTCATTCGTGTGAAATTTGATGAGAAGATCATAAATTGTGTTCATTGCTTGTAGAACAAAGCTCTGTGTCAGAAGGTTAATATAGTAGAACTGACCCGTAGAAACGTGCCCCCTTTTGGGGCTACTAAGCAGCCTATGAACACCGAAGTGAGTAGTGTCATTAATGTGACGTATGCTGGCTGGCTGTCAGTCTGGCAGCGTATAGATTTAGTCACGACAGGTGTGAGACATTCTGAAAAGCTGTGCTTTATTTCTTCCCTGCAGTATATTTCAAACATCAGTGTGCAGCTATGTCAGGAATTTCGTATAACGTAATACTTCTTATCATAACGTGTTTAGACTTCACTTTTTGTTCTGATGTGCAGTTCTATCACCGGTGGAATCCAAAGCGGTTTGTATGAAGAGGTCTTCCCTCTTAGTGAAATAAACAATACTCACAGGCATTTCCCCTTTCGTAAAATCTGGCGTTTGTAGGAATGATACTTAATAACAAGCATTCTTACGATCATTCGCTGTTGGCATTGCCAGGCCTAATCAATTTATGATCATTGGTTTTAGACAATGTCGAGATTTATGACTTCAAACAACAGCTGTTTTGCATATTTCTTTCAAAAGCAGGTGTGGAGGTATTTTTTAATCCATTTTGGCAAAGCGTAAGCGAAATTGAATTCTGGGAGCCATTTGGGCTGCTTGGCTACTGGAAAGTCAGTACCTAGCCCTGCAGAAATGTTGGCAGTCATGCGATAGGGTGGGTGGGTGGTGCAAGAAAGAGGGAGAAAAAAAGGAGAGTGCCAGGAAAATGAGCAGAAGGCAATGTGCAAGCCTAAAGCAATGCGCCTAATATTTGGATTAGGATATAGAGTAATTTGGTTAGTTTTTTTTCACGTGCATACCACTTTAATAATTTATATTGCTCTGGCTTATATTTCACTGTGTGCTAAGCCAGCGTTTAGTCTCAAGATGTATACACATTAGAAGCCGGTAAATTGCACGCAATATATTTTAAAAAAGAAGCATCCTCAGAAAGGGTCGCAGACAGTGCAAGAATGCACAGTCTCATTAATGTTTGCTGGCCCATTCCTTTAACCTCAAGCATCTGTACTTCCTCAACCTAAGAGAGAAAGAAAGACAGTTTTATATATATACAACGTGCAGAATATACGTACATTGTAAAAGTTAAACCTCCAAAGTTCTTGAATAAATATGGTTTACATAAAACCATTTATACGTAAAATGCCATTAAACGTACTTTATTAATTAATTACTGTATACATTGAATGGATGTATTATATGGATGAAAAGAATGTGTAAAAATTTAAACCTGACCATGTTTGTTATAAGAAACTGCAGTAGGCTGACGTTTTGGTTAAGAGACAATCGGACAAACCTTCAGCCACTCCAATGAAATGTCTTTAGTGTTACTCTTGAGGAAGGGGCATTCCTAAAATGCATTAGCCTATTACATGTCTCTTATCAGACTGGTTAATGGTGAACATGCTGTGCGTATCCGTGCATGCTTAACCCTTTGCCAACGTGCATGTACACATACAGGCCGTATTGTCTGTGAATCGACTGTTGGAATGAGAGCCTCGCCACTCCGCACCGGGCCCGTTGAGGGTCATTTGATGATACTTCACCCTGCTTGTCGGTGCGGTTTGGTGACGGTAGGGGGCGAGTAGAAAACAAACGTGGATTTTGCTTCGCTGCCCACAACGCCTGCGACACCTCGACGAGCATAAATACATACATTTAATCGCCATGCTTGTTTGTTTGCCCGATATCGTCAGATGGTTGAAGATAATCAGATTTTGAGCCTAGTAAATGATTTGGATGGGTGATCGGCGTGCATAAAACATACCACTGCCCCTCAGCGTCCTTGAATTGTTCATGTCAACAGCATGTGAGCACAGTACAAAGCTGCAAATACCACCAAGATGATCCACTACTTGCCATTGTACTCAAACAAAGCCTCCTCCATAAGTGGTGACATGTGGCCTAAAGAGACATCACGATTGCCTTGATTGGACCCTGATATACAGATTATTAGCAAATTGAAGATAATTTAAATCAATATAGCCCTTTGTCAATCCACTGCTGTATACATACCTCCCCATGACATGCCAGTCATGAGGTTATCTGACCATATTTCACCATGCTGGTTAGTGCAGAAGCAGGGGACCACAGGACCGGCTCACATATCACTCACCCACGGTCGAGGAGCAAATTCAGGATGCCGGGTTCAAAGTGCAGTGCGCTAATCACTGTTCCATCACTCAATTCCTTATCTTATTCTATGTTACAAAGCCATGGCGATTGTTCTATTCCTCTGCTGAGTATCGTTTTAAGAAATGATTATACAATCGTTGACCATAGCGGATGTTTTGATTTGATACCATCATTTTAAACGTTTTGCCGTCTTTAAAAAAATGTTTTTTAGTTTGGTTTCAGAAGCATAATTATGATGTGCTTGATTTTGTGCAGATATTTAACGTGGCTTGACCCAAAGCATTCACGTGTTGTCACGGCCCCTGTTATCTCGTGCTCCAGTCGCTGGGCTATCGCATGCTACGTAACCGTGGCATTATTCTCCAACCTCCCACACTCGTTCACGTTCACTCTCATTTCGTGAAGCGCCACTCATCGTGGCGGCATTACTCGGCAGTGATTATTCATTGGAGTGCGCGCACACATGCAAGCCGCAGTGTCCTGCTCCAGAGGAAGCTCGGTGGTAAGCATCAGCTGTAAAAACAGAGCCAGCGTTGGGTAATGTAAGACATTTCCTTTAGCCCGAGCGAAGTTTAGCAACTTTTTTTTCCAAGCACAAAATATGGCATGCAGTTTATTATATTCTTCAAAGCTGGTCAAAACTCATCCAACAGATAGTTCCATTACTGAGTCAATATTTTTTTCCCAGGGTGCAATAGGATTATAAAAATAATTTTAAGAAATTCATCTGACTTGTGAGATTTTATCTGTCGTACGTTTTGATGGGTTGTGTAAGAACTTCGTAAACATTTTTACGTGGAGAGACAGATATATGAAGGAAACGTATTGTCTGCCTATCTACGAACGAGAGGGACTCTATAAAGCTCCCTTTATTGGAGCCCCTTGCGCCAACATCAGAATTAAGGAGCGATTGCAGGGCTGCGCCTTTATCTTTTCCCTTCACCTACCAATATCCTGTCTGTCGCCTTCTGTATTGCGCACAGGATGATGGCCGACAACCAAATCAGCGCAAAGTCCTCACCATCGCGGGTGTCAAAAGCGACGCTCACTCTGGAGCTCCCGTCTGTGGCAAGGCCCCCCATGGAGCCGCCTGCCTTTGCCGTCGCTCCACGAAATGCGCGGGCTCCGCTGGGCGCCACGGCGCGGTTTGACGGCAAGGTAAGGGAAAAGAATCAACAGGCCAGGGATCTGCAACAAATCATGGCTTTGGCAGCCTAACAATCGTTAAAAAAGGTCATGGCAGTAAACCCGGTGCAATATTACCCCTTTGTAACCGCAAAGATCGTGCAGTCACTGTGATGCTCATATTGCTGTTCTAAGAACAGAACATGAATGCAGCTTTGAAAATTCTCCAGTTCGACAAAAGAAGCAAGGCTGCAGTTAAAAAGGCTTTTTCACTATCAAGGTGTTTATTTGTATAAACCAACAATTGCATGTGGATATGATTTTGTACATAATGACTTAACTTTTATATTCTGCATATATGAAATATTAATAGATCTAATGGACCATCTTAGTAATGCTGTACAAGCACAGATACAGTGGAAGAGATATTGCCCAAATTGTTAGCTATTCTATTTTTTATAAGCCACTCTTCTTTTGTATGGATTATGTAGAGCAACTAGAGGTTCAGTTATAAGTGATTTAGCCATTCAATTGTTGTGTTTGAGAGTTGGCAAATTATAGATACAATCTTAATTTAGGAGCTTTCGTGACTGCAGGAATTATTCTTTGGTTCTTTTCGGTTAAGTCACGTCTAAAAATAAAATAATAAATTAAAATAACATATTACTTGTTATTTTAATTTATTATTTTATTTTTATGTTATTTTAATTTATTATTTTATTTTTAGACGTGACTTATCCGAAAAGAACCAATAAATTATAGATACACCTTCTTCACATTTATACTTGTGGCAGTGCAGAATTGTGCATTTGGTGTCCAGATCTTCCATAGTTTGTGCGAATCTGGTTAAATGTTGCCCATTGTTTCCATAAAAGATTGGAGCCATGCAGTTTGGTGGTGGGGTTATTGATCACGTGTTTGTTGGGCATGTTCCTTGAAGCCCACAAAATGGTCCGTGCCCTTTTGGTGCTCAAATTCACATCACGCGGAGCCTGTGCACATTTACAAGATGGCTTTCTGGATCTCAGCCATGATTGTTGGATATTGTTCAGCTCATCGACGAATGGCAGGTATGGCTCAGCTTCTGATCGGTGCAGTCAACAGTGTTGTGGCATCGCAGCTGCTTGCGTTGTGGCCGAAACGTCGTGATAATTATTTTATTATGTTTTATTTTATAATTTTATTATTTCCCTTCTACGTGACTTTACCGAAAGAACCAAGAAGTTGAGTCCTGCAGGAGTCAAGTTGCCTGTCAGTGTATATTGAGAATATGAAAATGGCACAATCAGTGTTGCTATTAAACTAGGCAAATCTGTAGACTTCAGTTGTTGATGATAGTGACACACAAACCTGTATGTGTCCTGAGGCTAAATAGGCTCAAAATAATCTAATAGAGCCAAAGTTATTTTTTTTTCTCCATAATAGCTTTGGAAAGGGTGAAAAGAAAGTACCACCAGAGCATTGGTCAAGTGGTAGCATTATTACAGCTCACTAAGTGGAATTCCTTTGATCAAGACAAACATAATTAGCTGAAGTGTTTGTAACCTGTCAAAAAAATGTGCCCAGTGTAGACAAGCTTCGCATAGTTAATGATTATGGTCCATAATAGACGTTTTTTGAGTTAGTGTTAAACTAATTATGGTCCAGATATGAAGTCGTTTATGACATTTCCCCGTTCCCCCGCCCCCCGCACTGAAATTGATAGATCATTTTTCAGCTGGGAATGCTAATACTAACTTACTTAAAGTATGTTATTACAGTGTTTTACTCACACGATGTCTGAAGTTGGTCAACTGTGTTGGCCATCAGTGAAAACAACTATTAAATTAGACTAAAGTCCAAGACATCGACTCCGTCTTATCCAGAATGTTCAGAAGTTTAGAAGGTAGAGCGATCACAGAAAAAAAAAAACCTTGGCCTGCAACGAAGTGCACATAATTGACTTAAATGGTGGTTGAAAATAATCATTCTCAACCTAAATGATTGGTGTATACTTATAGTTGATGGATAAAGGCCTCTCCACAGTGTGTGTTAGTTCACCAGAATTGTTTGACCATGCTTTACCCTGCTGGTCAGTGTGGGTTGACAAAGGGGAAGCCCCAGGCTGGTTCAGATATTGCTCAAATTTAATGTAATCAAACATAAGATAATATAGTATAACAATTAAAAACTGTCCCTCTGTATCACCACAAAAATATGAATGGCATTGCAGTTTATTGGCACGCCGATCTTTCAGACTCATATTAATGAGCAACATTTGTTTAAGCACGCAAACTGAGGACTGGTTTTACCCTTCTGGGTCTCATCATCAGATCAGAGTCCGTTGTACTAAAAAAAATACTGCTTGCTTACCGATGGCCAATATTAAATATCGGCGTTTGTTAACTTACCTCCAGACCTCGTGACCTCCCCCCCCCCCACGTTACAGCTTTCTGTGACTGCCAGTTATCAGGTGCATGCAGTGTGCAGTGACCATGTACATTGAAAATACTGGCAATTCCAACAAGGGCGACCGCAGGGCGACGGGAGGACTGGAATTGAGAAACGTATGTAGAGACAGAGCCCTGGCTGATGGCATTTGGTGAATGAGTGATATTTGTTTAGCACCTCTGATTCTGCTGATGACCCTGGAAGAGTGAAGCCAAACCAGGATTTGCTTACTTAAACATTTGCTGCTGGTTAATGTGTCTGAAAAGCTAAGTAGGATGATAGACTGGAATAGATTTCGTATTTATTTGGAGATAGAGAACAACAGTTTTTTAAAATAAATATAGTCGAATTAGCTGTACTAAAGTACTACATGATTATATAATAAATGCACTTGATGGTACTGTGGAGGTCATTAATTCTTTATAACACTACCTGTATTTCTATAAAACTAACTGTTCTGTTTGGTATGGCTCTTGACCCGCAAGTATTGCCACCAACGCATGAGCGTGTTGCCAGCACATCTGACTTGGAGTTGTAAATGCCATCTTAACGTACGGCAATGTAAAATAAGTGACGAAAACGATGAGGATTTCATCGGCAACTGATGTTTGGTGTGTAAATCTTTTCAATAAGGGTTATCCTGCAAAGCTTGATAACCCAAATGCATTTTCTTTCAGATATCCCATGGTAACTTCATCACAAGAGTTTTTCCACTTTCATTGTATCACTTCTCTAGAGATGGCCACACAATGAACCTAATACATCACAATTTTTTTCATCGTCGTAAGTTTTCAAGTCTCTCTCGGACTCTCCTCAAAGGGGACAATCCGTAACATGAGGCTTTTGAAGGGTGCTCATTTCAAAGTACATTTTGGTCTGAAGCAAAATAATAATCGCCCCCACTATTGCTTTGAAGAATTGTGTTTCATTTCATCAGAATAAAACATCTTTATATGAATGTATAGGTCCCAGTTTTATTTTCATTATCTCATGTGGACTTTGGGGTACCTAATAAAATGCACGAATTGTCCTTTGTTCTTGACAAAAGCAGATGGCCTTTTGCTTACGAAAAAAATAATTCTGGCATTTTTTTCGTGCTCATGTGTTTCCTTACTGTTTTATAAGTATTTTTTTTTGCTTTGCAAATGCCTCCCTCCATGGCTCCCTGCTGTGCCTAATTACCCACTGATTAACTGCAACCTGCAGCCATATGGTTATTTTTAAGATGGCAACATGGTAAGGTTAGAATAAGATGTATTGTGGGGAACACATAAAAGGGAAAATGAATAGCAGACCGTTCAATCTCCGGTATTTTGACGTTAATGCACTTCATCAAGTGCACTTGGAAGCCTTCCAAGCCAAACAATATAGTAGTGTCTTTTATCACACTGAGAGGTTTATAGGATCGTTACTGAGTGGCATAAAATGTTTCTGCAACACATACCAATTAATATTATTTGGCCAATAAAAGCAATACATAACACAACTGCTTTGTATACTATCATACAGCAGCAAATCTTTGTTTATATTTGACCTGAGACTCGATGCCGGCCTTTTTAAATGATACATTGTTGCAAAGGTAGCTCAGCTAGGTCGCAGCTTGTTGCAGAGGCCCGCAGTTGAGACCCAGCAGGCTGCCCTGGTATTATTGTGGGAGTATTCACCATAAACACACGTGCTGTCCTCTTAAATGTAGACGTTAAAGATCCCCTAACTGCATTCAAAATTAGTAGACCATTGTTCACCGGTGTCATGGCCCAAATATGAAAAATAATTCCCATATACAGGCCAGGTGCTGAGTCATCTTGTGCCATACAGGGACAGCTCCCACTGGGGTGAGGGGGGTTTTGAAATTTGAGCTGAAATGTGATGTAAGTCACGAATTGCGTGTAAAGGGCTCTGAGGTGCCTCGGCCTAAAGGACGTTACATTTTAAATAAAGAAATAATGCGGAAGGGTTCTGGCACGAAAGAGGGATTGTAGCACGAGCCACAATCAGGGTTTGCGTGAGATCATAACAACTTGACATTGGCAATCTCCAAGACAGGTCAAAACACTTCTCTTTCTGCTTCTTACCTCGAATTCCCTCCTACTATCGTCTGTTTTCCCAAGCTCTTATCACCTTCCTCAATTCTAAAAACACGTTAACTCTTTGGCAGTGCTGTTTATTGCTGGTGTTGCACACTCGAAATGAAGGACGTGGGCAGGTGCTCCAAATCGAGGGCAAACACAATTATTGTGGATAATCTGTAAAATGCAACAGCACGTGTGTCACACACAGCAATCTTCAACCGAGTCGCCATTAACCATGTGACGGGTGTACACGTCCGGTTAATCAATAACCCTTCCAGCCGCCTACAGGCCCAACTCCGTTATCGCATGCTGGTGTACACACATGCATTGAGGTGCTGCACGGCACATAAGGACTTTCACAAAGTTACACTTTAATCCCTTGCTGCTGCACGAGAAAATAATTAAAAGAGTGGTCCATTCCTAATGTGCCACACTGGCCACTTGATGTCTTTGGCCTTTGGGCCGTGCTTAGCATCTGTGTAATAAATAAAAATGCACGTTAAAACCCTGTTCACTTCAACAAAACAAAGA